CGGGAGCCGCCGCGGAGAGGAGCGAGCGCTGGCACAGAGGGGCCAAGCCTCCAGCCAGCCGTTAGCCCCGGGGATGGCGCGCGGGTCGGCATCCTGCGACTGGGAGCCTGGAAAAATTTCACTGAATGCTAAAAGCATTTGCCTTCTCATTTTTCCTTCCCCTTCTTTTGATTTTTCTGTATGTTTTTTTTTTCCCCTTTCTCTTTCAAAAAGCAGAATATTGAAAAGTTCTGCAAAAATAAAGTTCTGCAGAGGATAAAGCAGCTACGTGCTGGCTCCTTTGGTGAAAACGTGGGCAAGCTATTTTTCCTGCCCAGGGCAAGAGGCAGCAAGGCCTGGGCGGCTGTCCGAGGAGGGCGCGGGGTGGATGCGCTGCCCTGAGAGCGGGGTGCTGCTAGGCAGAGGATATACAGCGTACAACGGCTCGTTTCAACGAGGTTTTTCCTCACAGGGTTTATAACCCCATAGAAATTTTAGCTCGATTTCTCTGCTGCGACGAGTCAGGTTTTCAAATCTCCGAGACAAAAATAGCACCGATAACCGGGGGGCCGCTGTCAGAGGTTCCCGTGCAGAGCTGGTCTGCGGGTCCGGCGCTGGGAGACCTTCGCTCCCGTGGGCGAGCCCCGAGATGGGTCCGGCCCTCGCTTCCCGGAGCGCTCAAACCCTCCCTTTCTCGTGCAACCAAACTTAAGCAAGCATAAGAATATTTTGACTGTGAGAACTATAAATTAAGGCAGAAGTGAGCTGTTTCACGATCCTCCTAACAATGCAGAGAAGCCCTGCGGCCGGCAAGGACACGCGTGCGTCCGTTGTATGCCGACAAACGTGGGATGAGAAAGTTCAGCCCCTTCTTCAGCTGCTCGGAACTTTCTCCCAGGTACGCCCCGGCTCTGCGTTCCTCGTGCCTGGGCTGACTTCGACCCTGAATTCTCCCGGGATTTGTCGGTCTCGGTAGGGGAACCGGTCGGGCTCCCTTCGGGATGCGTTTGAGACATTGGACGTCAGAGACAACAACCACTAATTTTCAGAAATGCTAGAAATGCAATAATAAAATAAGAAGTAGGTTTAAGCAAAATTGCAGACCTGAACAGATCAAAATTTGCAGCCGTTATAATTCTAATCCCTAATACAACTACCTTTTTTTTTTTTTTCCCCACCCAGGTTTCCCTTCTTCATTCTAACCAAGAACTAAACCCCAAATGTAGGGCAGTGGAAACCTGAATTAGAATATTCCGGTCGAACTCATCTCTCAAAAAAAAAAAAAAGTCAGACACGAAATCAGTGTAAACATTGAATTGAAGTCAGTTATAGAAATAGCTTCACTTCCTTTTCTCTGCAGATGGGAAGAGTTGCCTCATGCCTCTGGTCCTGCCTACCCGACAAAAGCCAAGGTGCCCTGTCTCCCCGGGCAGGGGCGCGGGGAATCAGATGGCTTGCGTTTGTGCCTTGGAAGTTGCTTCAATTTTCTACTTAATTTGATTAATTTTTCAAAGTACGCCATGGAAAGGCAAGTGGCTTCTTTATTGATGGATTGGCAATCCTGTGCTGCTTTGATTTTTTGCAGTCAAAAACGCAAACAAAATATTTAGGAAGCAATTGTAGCTTAGCGAAGATAAGCAGTGTTTTTTTTTCTGGAGGTATTTAGAGAGCAGAGACTGGAGATGCAGTGTTTGTCAGAAAACAGGAGCTGCGTGTAGTTCTCTCTTTGTCTCTCCTTTGATTGGCATGCATTGTGTCAATTAATTGAGAAAATATATATATATATTTGCACACAGGCGAAGTTACTGCCTCCGATGAGAACGGAGATGCTTTTTCTGCCTTACCTAAAGAACAAGTGCGTACCCGCGAGTTAAAGTTACTCCCCAGCCTTTGTAGGTCAACTTCTGCCATGGAGCTTTGTCTGGGCTGTCGGATCGGAAAGCCAGGGAAGGGTAGGGCTGGCGGTGCGCGTTCGGAGGGCTGCTAACAAATGGCACACTTTAGCATTTGGTCCTCTAGGTAGAAAAAATTAATCAGATGTCTGACAAGATCTGTTATTCGTCTCTATTTCAGGCTCCCTTTTTTTCTTCTCTTTTTTTTTTTTTTTCCTTCCTGGCTTACAACAAATATTACTAACGGGTACTTTTAGGTTTTAAAATATGGACAACAGTACTCCATGCAGTAAAAGACTTGAACGATTAATGCTACCCTTATGCCTCTTTTGAGTAGTTTTAGCCATGGGGCTTGGCACTGCCACCATTGTCTTTGTGCCAAAAAATATCCGCAGCGGCTGCCGCCATCTGTGACCTAAATTATTACCATGCAGTCTAGCTAGATTTATCCCTCCTCCCCTCTTTAAAAAAAAAAAAAAAAAAAAAAAAAAAAAAAAAAAAAAAAAAAAAAAAAAAAGAGGAGAGAGAATCTTTAGCTCTCGCAAACCTGGGAAAGCGCACGGTGCAGGCTGGGGTGCTCGAGCGACTGAAAACGATGAATAATGTACGGTAAACGTAGAAATTCAGGAGAAGCTTTTGTATTTGCGAGCACAAATAGTTGCTTAAAGAGCCGACTCTTGCATATTATCAGCACTCTTGCAAATTTTATTATCTGAAACAAATGTGCCAGTGAATTTTAAGCAGAAAATCAACATCAAGACTGTAGCTAATTTTAAATGGACAGTTTATACAAAAGATATTTCCCCCCCCCAAAACGAAGTGTCATTACAAAAAGTATGATAATTTCATAATTACTCTTGATAGTGAAAATCTCTGTATGTCTGTCTTTTTAACGGTTTCTTGAGTTTTTCATCAATTTTGGTTATTTGTTCTTAATTGAGGAGGCAGATTTCTAGCCGTACGTGGGAACGACGACAACAAATGTAATAAAGTTAAAGGCTTCCACCATCAGAATGAAACGCGTTCCCTCCTGATCTCCAAAGCTATCTGTTTGGTGGTAAAAGTGGATGCTATAGATGAAATCTTTACAAGGAGCATAATCCTAAAAAAAAAAAAAAAAAAGAAAAAGTCAATCTCCTGCTGGCTGCTGTGCCGCTTTGGTACCTCACAGACTTCGACAGAGTCCTGGACGAGTGCCCATTGATGTCATGGAAACACTCAAATTACTGAGAATGATTCATGTCTATGCTGTTCTCTTATCCTCCCCCACACAAATAGAAGTAGATTTTAACCCTGACAACTTGTAATTTGCAGTGGGTTTATTTTTGTATCTGGATAAATATTTTTTAACAACTGAAATTAAGATGAGGCTGCCTGTGCCTGATACGATAGAAACGAAGATTGCCGAGACCCCGGCAGCGCCTTCAAAGAACCTCGTGTCGCTGCCGGTGCTTGGTTCCCCCGACCCTGTTTTTCTGGTTGGAATATTTTCCCCCCCCTCCCCGTCCTCACCGCTCGTTATTTGCGGCGACTTTCTGGCCCTCTTGGGGTGGTGGGAAGTAGCACACGCGACTCACGGTTAAAATTTCGGTGTCGATTCGTTCTCGAATGATTTCTGCCAAGGCTTCCAGTGCGCTGAACCCGAGGGGGGCTGTGGGGCGGGCGAGCCGTCGCGTTTTGTGTAACCAGAGCGGAGTTGTTACGTGTGCAAATGTCCTATGAATTGCAAATAAATTTTGGAGGTTCCCGTGTAGAAGTAACCGCCTTGCGTGGAAAACAACCACAAGGAATCGAGAAACAAAAGCAAGCGCTAGGGTCTTCAATTAGGGTGAGGCGAAAGGTGATTTATTTTTTTGAATATTCCAAACCACCGGCAATAGTCAAACTTTGTCAGTAACGTCTGGAACGGGCGATCAGACCTGGTAGCCGTGTCCCAGAGGAAAGGCTTCTGGGCTCAGAACGTGGCCCCCGCCGTTTTG